ATATAAATAAAAAATTAAATCATTATCATATTATCACAAAAGGATACAATTTCTATATCATTATGTATTTTTAGAAATTATTTTACCAAAATTTGTCAAAGATATTGAAAAAAGATAATAATTTGCTCTTCTCATATCATTCTTATTCCTATTTACAATCTGTTTCATCAAATTATATACTCAAAAGAGATGAATAATATAGTAACATTCTAATTTTCTTCCGTTTTTCCTAAATTTCTTAACCTCTAATATTCTTTCCAATTTTGTAGTATGGAATCATCCTTATCTTGTTCCTCCAACATCTATATTTTTAACTCTTAAATTGAATTCTACCTACATCAAATAAGTATTTATTCATGCAGATCATTTTTACTTAAAATGGAAATCTTTGAATAATTTGAGATGGTAGGAGATGCTGTGGAAAACTATAAAAAATATGATAAGTATTTATATTTTTACAACTCTTATTGAATCAGTACTTTTTAAAGTGTAAATTATATGTTACTCTTCTATCAAGTGATTCTCTTTCAAAGAAAAAATAAAATTAAGCTAAAGATTTATGATAGATAAGAAAAATAATTTTATTAAATTATTGTATTTTTTTATTTTGATTGATTACTCTTCCATCTAGCACTTAATATTCTATATTATAATTTTCGAATACATGGAATATTGTCTAAATAAAATTGATATTAATGTAATAATAAAGACTAAGATAATAAACAATAAAATTATTTAAAAGTTTCTATATAAAATTATTCTAAAGTGCAATTTAAAAGTGAATATCCATAAATTATTATCATTAAATAGAATAATAAAATTCAGAAAGTTCCAAATTATAAGGGCCAATAAAAACAAATATTTTAAAACCTATCATCAGAAGATTTAATTAATTTACATCTGCAAAATTTTTAGAAAATAGTTAATATTATTACTTACAACGTTAACAATATACAAGATTACAGTTTTGGCATTTAATTTGTCTAGATTCATCAAAAAAGAAAAGTAAGAGTTAACATTTTTAACACTTTCATTATTGTATTTTTTAGATTAATTTCTACAATATTTGCATTAGTTTATTAATCCCTTTTAATGAATACAGATAAATGTGGAAATAAATATATTATCTCCTTTTTATTCAAGTGAAAATTTTATTTGCATTTTTTACATTGAATATAATTTGATAATCCTTCTTTTATAATAAGTTTACTTTGTAAATGAAAATTAAATACTTACAGTGAAGCATAAAGAACAGAAAACCTTCCACAAAATTATAATTTTTCTAGCTTTTTGAATTCCTACACAATTCAAAATCAAAAGTTAAATATTTTCCAAGCTGCAACCATATTCGACTCTCATTTGAACTATCACTATTATGAATGATAATTTCTTTAGTTTATTGATATTTATTAATATTTAAAAATCCATATTTATATTTCTATTAAAAATTCATACCATATTATTGGATTATTACTCAAAATTGCAAGAAATTCTATTGTTTGTAATAATTAAAGTAAGTTACTGGTAATTTATTATATTCTTAATCTAGGTCTTATTAAATTGTTAAATACTTAAAGAATATATCATAATTTATGAATTATAAGTAGTCTCTTTAATATATTTTTTAAATTGTAATTTAGTTTCTTATGTAAATAACTTTTATTTACTTTTATATTCATAATTTTTTAATAGCTAAATCATTTTACTCTATTCTTTCTTCATCATATTTTATTAAAATTAAAAAAATATCCATATGCTTTTTATTGTTTCTAAAATATCTGTTTTTAATTTAAAATCACATTAAAGTCATATATTTAAATATACTAAAATAGTTAAGAAATTTTAGAATTATTTATATTTCATGAATCCTTATTTTGATCTCAATAGATTATCCCATATAGAAAAACCTCAAGAGTGTGCAGGAAATTAAGAAATAGATGGAATCTAATGGGATTATATATAGGATGGATCTATTCTAAGAATGTAGCACTTCATAATTAATTTAGAGATTATATCAAAGACAATTCAATAAAATAGGAGGTTCTAACCAATTTGGAATAGATATAATATTTATTTTGGTTTGGA